CCCAACCGGGAGCCAATCAGCGCGTAGACGAAATGTGTGTAGCTCTACAATTAACTGCTCTGTTCACATGCGCCCAGCTGGTAGCTTGCTTGCACAATTCTATCACATCCTTCCTATTTTTGTGGATCAGGCGCAGCGGAGTCTCAGAAGAGCCCGTAAGGTCTTCCGCACCGCGTCGTCTGTATTGCCTCAGTGGTTGTGACCGCTCTGTAAGGCGTGAAGTGTTTTGCTGCTGGTTCACCTTCGCGTTCCCGGTGTCGCCTCAGCTGCACTCAGTTCCCTCTGATTACCTTCCCTCCAGCACTGACTTCATATGATCTTTCTACGAACTTCCTGGTCACCACAACTTTCTTTCATCATGCGCTTACACAGGATGTTGGTTTGATCAACACTTCATCATTAACTGTTATTTCCGTTAGCGTTCGGGTCCCGCGGACATAATACCGTTTCTGCTCTATCATCCGTTTTCTTAAGCCCCTTTGCAATTGGGTATGCGATGGCGAGAGTTCAGCGTTCGCAGGCATTAGGAATCTTGTTCTTTGGTTGTACACACATTGTACTGAACTGAGACCGATGTTCCGTAATCGCGTATTGCTAATCTCCAACAAGAGTAGATACAGGTCCACTTGTGTGGTTCAGGCTTTCGACAAGTGCCTCTCGGTTTATTTGACCGCTGCTTTAGCTTTTCTGTTTGATTCTGATACGGGCTGGTTTGTCAATGCGAAATTTCACAATTGTAAACGAAGGTCTGGAACTTAGCACTTGTAAATTGGTAGCCGTTTTCGGAGATCAGTTCCATCGGTATTTCGTGTGTAGCAAAAGACGTCTGTACTTGTTGATAACTGCTTCCTTGGTGGTAGTCTTGAGTGGGTCGATCTCAAAATGGTCAACGTAATGGATTACAGCAAATCAATTTTCTCTACCGTTGTCACGGAACAAGTCCACTGCCACTTGCTGCTATGGTCGATTTGGATTCTCAAGTAACATTATTTGTTCCTTGAGCGTCGTGGGACAGGCAAGGTGAACTGCTTGACACATGGCCTCGGAATTGAATTGTCATTCCGCGCCAGAACATCAGTTCACGTGCTCTATTAATAATGTAATTGACAGCCAAATGGACTTGATGAGCATGTGCTAGCATTTCTTTCCGAAGGGGTAGTGGGATCCAACTGAGATTTTCTTTATATAATGTAATTTCATCTAATTTAAATAATTTCATCCAGAAATTCGATGAACGGCATTAATTCCTTCGATAGTTTATACTTTGCATTTGACCAGCACTTCAAAACAACTTCGCGAAAAATCATGCACGTCGCGTTCGCCTCCATATGACACTTTAGCTCGTTCAGGCGATCTGTTGTTACCGCCAGAAATTGAGTGCACGAAGTTCTTCCTACTAGTGTTCGACTACCGGACGATGAGCTCTCGACAGAGCGATCGCGAGGAACGTTTGCGTCCTAGTAGTGCACACGAAATCCATGTCGCATTTTTGGAGCCGGATAAACATACGTTGAAGCCGTCGACGGACACTGTGTAACGCTTTACTGGCCCTTGACAAGAGCGGTATGTGGTCAGTATACACTGGAGACGAAGTAATTTGTAGCTGTCCAATCAACCGCTCTGTCAGCATGCGGCACGATTGCCGTTTACTTGCACAATCCTATCGCTGTGTCCGTGTGGATTCTACAAATTTAACACGCGCCGCACTTTATACAAACTCACTGCACTACGTAACGCTCCGAATACATTGCGAACAGAGACCGTACTACTGTCTGTGAATAATCTCTGAAACGTCTTGAATGCAGAGTTCATACTACTTGATATCCCGTGGAATGAACGTTCAGCGGATCCACCAACCGAAATGGAAACCGAACAAATTAAAATTTGGATTATGTGCTTTCATCCTGAGCTTACAGATTTATCATCCGACAATGCTCGGGTGCGCAACCGGGAGAAATGGCGTTGGACCCCTGCGGGCTTTTCTCTCTAAAATTCGTCGCCAACTGGATTAGAAGGATCCAAGCTTCAACTAATTACAAGCCTTGTGGTTCCAGTCTAATAACAATGGTGAATTAGCGGCCCAAAATCTTATTCACAATGGGGCTAAGGTCCGTAGCACGTTGCGAACAGAAATTTGCCTGAAAGCAGCTTGAGCACGACCATGATCGGTCAACAACCCTGTGATGGCGGCAATCTTAATGAAAACACCAGCCGTGGGATATGACGCAGTGAAGGTTTTAACAGACGTCATTACACCTCAACGGAAAGGAAAACGCGAGCGACCACCGGGCATCTGATGAAAGAAAATACGCCAACTCCATCTCAACAGGCAGCAACCAATACATGAAAATGCTTAGCCCCCGACTCTTTATCGGTCGGAGTAAACTCACTAGCTTCATCAATCACATCTAACAAGCTCCTGGTTTTCAAGCATCTCTCCTCCACTTACATAAATACACAAGTTATACCTAACAAATTACCTGGATTGAGACATCGGCATACGTAAAGAGATTGAGACCTCATCCCTTTTACGGAAACATGGCTACACTCTTTGATAACGGATACCAAAATCTCACTAACAGTTATGCCTGTTATCTAGAGTGATGGAGAGAGCAATGCTGTTGGGGTGGCCCCTAATTTCGCAACAACCCCCAGTGCGAGCACTTAAAGGTAAGGAAGCAGAAATGCCCGACTCCATTTGGTTTCGCTTTCGACTGAGGAGGAACTACGTAGTTCTAGTGAGTGTCATATTTCCGCCCAACATTGTCTACCATTAAGAGGGACTTCAAATTTGTGGCTGCGTTGTAGCGGGCGATAAACAGTAAGTATCGTTGCGTTTTAGTCGTTGGTAATTTCAAGTTGCATGCTCCAGAATCCCAGACCACACAAGGACACCAATCCAAAAAGGACCTGCAAGAAACTGCCCTACATTTCAAGTCTCATGGCCACGCCAGTTAGCCCACAAGATTAAGGTAAAAACAGACCATTCAACTTGGACTTGATATTCCTTACTTAACAGTTCATTGCCCATAGAGTGATTAGCAATATTCGTATAGACTGCAGTGATCATGAAACCTTGCCTTTCATGTAACATGCTAGGCTGAATACCCCGAGTACACAACCCAAACTACACGGAGTATAACCAGCTACATCCTTTCAGCTTATCTAGTTGAATTGACGGGATGAAGTTACCTGACCGAGGATGCACCGGTTATTGCCTGGGAACGTTTCGCCAGTGAGTTAAACAACTTGCTTAGTGGGTTATCGAAACCAAGGCTATGAGTTTCAGAAACATAGCGTCGTTTATATGAACTAGGATACGCAAATGCATGCTGATGTGTCACGCGGCACGGTATGCCCACAGCCGATCTGGGTCAGAGCACGCGGCTGACCCATGCTATTGACCGCAGGCACTGTTCGTAACTAGTACGCAAGACACATACCATATCCACCGACTTTAGAAATGAGATTTACTTCAAACCACAAGCTTCGGTAAAACCGCTCAAGCAGCCCTCACAATGTGGAAAGTGGATTTCCTTCACACTCAAACAACGGATAGTTTACATTAGACTGCAAAAGAAGCGTCGATATTACTGCGACAGCAGCATACATCAAGGATTTATTGAATCCTGGAGTCTCCTAGACCATTGGAATTTATGGTGCTTCCACCATTACTCACTCATCCAAGGTTTACAGCAAATGTCTTGATGAAATTACTGCCATCCATGCACTTGAACGCCATTCCTGGAAATGATGGCATTCGCCCAAAACGCTGGTCGTGGAGGGTGATTTTATGGCGGAACACTTGGCACGGCTGTTCCAGTAGCGCGGTTCCAAAGCGTGGTACCACAGGACAACAACTCCACTTTTCAAAGTGGGTTGTGTTATGACCCACCTACTTATCGAGCAGTGACTCTTCCGCAGGTTCTTTCAGATGTTTGAGGTGATCATTTCAGATGCACTCAAGTCTAACTTGGACTGCTTGGGTCATATTGTTCAGCAGCAAAAACATCATTCATCAGAATCGGTCACGCACCAAAGGAAACAAAAGATGTGGTTTATTTCCAACCGCTGCTTTGTAAACGCAGTTAGTTTTATCCAATTAAAGCCCAAAAATGATGCTAGGTTTTGCATGCTTACTAAAACCCTGCGTTGTTATGTAGAAGGTACTGTGTAGTGTGGCAATGAGTAGCGAATGTGTTTCGTATGTTTGGGCAAATTTAATTCGCGTAACTCAATTGTGCTTACAGTCGGTCGCTGTGCGGATTTCTACACTCGCCGCTGAATAACACAGTTGACTATAATTTTGGATACTTGACGTCAGCAATCTCTTCGCAGATACCCGTATGCAAGTAAATGTTACATGTCACTTGAGCAATTTTGTCGAATATGTTTCATTATTTGCACTTTACAAATTTTTCTTGCAGGATTCCTGATTCGTTTACCTACATGGGAAGGAGATGAACATTTGCTGAAAAATCAGGTAATCAATAGTTTAACAAACACAACAAGTAATAGTTTATCTATTTACATAGAGTGCACAGATAAAGCATCCACGGCTGAATATAAGCAGTGTGCGCGATGCGTAGGTATAGACTCAAACAAAATGTCCTTGGTTGTTTCCGGCAATCTTCATGCATCCTTGTTTAGAACAAAGAAAATTTTAATTATGTGTTCGTGTAGTTATTTAAATAGTACTTAGTGCATTTCAACTTATATCTAATCCATAGTTGGTAACAGCGGTTTTCTTTTAGCATTGCAAAATTATAACGTAAAAGAAATTCAACGATATCGAGTGCGTGGATTGCTGTTTATATAAGTGAAATTAAATTGCAAACAACGTAATGGAACTTAGATTTTTCTCTTAGGTAGAAAGAGTACTTCCGGACTTCGAGGTTACTGTCACATTGGAGAAAACTCTACAAGATAATAGACAAAATCGCTTCAAAATTGTAGTAAAGGAACGCGGTTACGCACCATGGGGCTACCCCGACCTTCAGATGGAAGCTTTAAACAAACTGGAGCGTCTGGTACAGTTGCTGTTTATGAGAAACGTAAAAGTGGACGAAATTAAATGGCATAGTTTTGAACGTAAGTTTGTGACCGTTTTGCAACAGCTATAAATTTCAACGATTTAATTAAATCCATTGTTTCACTTATTTTGAATCAGTTAACACACACTGTGAACTCAAAGCGAACTAGGTATGTATAAAATAATGAGGTATGTTAATACCTAGATTAAGTATGCAATACGAAATGTGCTACCTTTGCCAAACTGCACAAAGACACCAGTATATAATATTCGTTTTCTCATAAGAAGCAGAATTCAGACTTCTCTTTTGTTACTGATAAAAGTGAATACTCCGAATGTACAAATGAAACTAAAGATCAGACAGAACATAAAGCAGAACTTCGTCGTTTCTATAACTGCCTGGACATCAAACGAAATAACTTAACACCTCTCCTAACGTGTAACTTTAGGCCGATATTTGGCGTGCGTAATAAGCCTGCTCAATAGTTTCATATTTTAGCATGCATAGTTTTAAACGAATTCATCTAGCTGCGCTTCGTGATGGGAATTCAGTTCATATATTTTAAGATGTGTAACATCAATCACATGGGCTGAAGGGTCATCCGGCGAATTCAATGTGAATTTTGACGGCGTTTGATGTTATTATGCAGTCAGAGGGTTGAGAAGTATTTACCTCACGAAGCATGTCGCTATATTAAGGCAAAATTACGAAACATCTGAAAGGACGCACACACAATTTCGCTTATACACTGATGGCTTAGTATTTGGCTACGTTGCAGTGGATTTTACTGACGGAAACAAAGGAAATATCTCATGAATGTAGAAGCGTTAACAGTTAAGGAGACGACCTAATTAGTTACTTCGAGTTTGGTTCACGCTAATTATCCTGCCATAATCGAGGAGATTGCCTTATCGAATAGACCTTTTGTCTGTGATTGACTGAGTTCTGCGAAATAGGGTCAGATGAATTCCAAACTTGTTTGCTGAGCCCTGCGCAATTGCTGATTGGGGCGTAAACCGCATTGCAATCACTTGTGCAATTAAACAGGGCTAGTTAATGGTGAATTTAGTAAAGCAAGTAGACCAAATTCTGCACACTGGAGCGTCTAGACGAATAACTGATGCCGCACGACTAGCGGTATTTTGGCATACGATCAGAGATGAAACACGCTGCATGTCGGATACGACATAGTAAGAAAAGGACGAACACCCAGAAGATCTGGAAAAGGACGACAGAAATTTCGGTGACTTCTGTGAGGGCCAAAGTAACGAGATCTAACAGCGAAATCTCTTAAACTCGAATCAGACGCTCGAACGAATCGATCGATAATATGTTACCTACTTTCGGATTCTGGCGCGTTCATGCATTATTAGCATCTTTATACGTGACAGGTTCATCCTAGTTAAAATCTTTCTAAGGCTGTTGCGGCAAGAGCATTTATCGCTGTCTACCTCCCTTAAACGAAATCGTTTCATCATCTTGATCACACCATCAACCTTTTCGAATCAGAGCTGTGGAATTAGCGATTTCATGTTAAGTTAGATACGTACATTCCTAGTTCAACTTTGCCTAATTGGGAGAGTTCGCAGCATCATATTTGACCTGATGGAGGTGTAATGTGGCGTCCCAAAACGCTCGGTTCTAGGACCAAAGACTATCATCGTACCTATTAACGACCTTTTTGGAGTGATCGATTCAAATATTTTACTCTACCTAGGCGACCTAAAAATCTAGCGGACCAACAGGAGAGTAAACAAACACGCGACACTGCATGATGATCTCTACAGGACTCACGTTTGGTCAGTCCATTAAATACCGGAGTTCAACGTTGTCAGATGTCGATTGCTGTGCATACGCCACCAGGGAAGTTAAGCAAACCGTATAGGAGAGCAATTTCAACAAGTTTTCCGTGAAAACGATCTTGGCTTGCTCGTGCAGGCCTACCTAAGTTACTCAAATCAGATAGAAGAAGCCGCAAGAAAAGCCAAGCTGCGATTGGAGCTATAGAGGAGAGCGTTTTCCGTTTTTTTCACATAACTTTTTCACGACTGCTCATAACTTTAGAGGCCACATTTTAAGTAATACAGCCTGATCTGCCAGCCCACCAAAAGCATGATCTTGCTGCTATTAAGACACCACAAGGAAGAGCAATAAGGATGTTAAAGGCCCGATTCACCTCCCTGACCAGCATATAAATACAGACGCTAGGATTTTGCGTTAGCCAATACCGCCCCCAGCGCGCTGATCTCATTTTGGTGTTTCGGATCATAATGTATGAAAATAAAGTATGGGCAAACTTACGGAAACTAAGTCACAACATTTCACTCCAAAATCACCACTTGAAGTTAGCCCCACAATAGAGTCGTCTGGAATGTCACCGGCACTTTTTCATACCTCGCGTGTCCCAGTGGTGAAACACTCTCTTTATTTCCGTCATGCCTGCTTCTACATGGACTGAATTCAAAATCCACCTTTTGAAAGCTTACACCACAGGTATTACAATCCTTAAACAAAGTTTCTGTTACACGCTAGGAAAAAACCGAACACGGTGCACAAGCGAGACATCGGTGCTTCCTCCGATATGCATTACCTTTGTTTTTCAACAAATAGATAGTACCAATATACAATGTTAACCTAAGAACACATGGTCGCCAAATAATCTATTTCGTTATATATCATCGAGCCAATAGAGTTAAAGGCATACCAAAGCAACAAAACTCAGTATGGCACTGAAGATCTGGCAGAGAATATGTGAGTCGGGAGTATTTGAAGGATTTTGCCACATTCGATCGATGTTTTTGTTAATCTACTGCCTACAGGCCTTACAATAGCCGATGGTGTGAAGGCGATCGCATTTGGACGCCGCCATCGTCCGACGCTGAGTAGTTGTAGCTTGGTCAAAGCAAGAAAAGTGTTCGCACGAAGGCCCTTCGATTGCACAACTCCGGCAGTTTCACTCTGATGACAATAGCTTCATTCATCCTCAACAAACGTTTTATAAACAATTTGGGGTGGAAAACGCTTTGAATGAAACGACCAGTCGGATTTCGTGTCCAAGTTAGAACAAGTGTTTCATGCTAACACTGTTAAATTCTCTGACCATGCCCATTCTTAACGACCACAAGCAGTATTTAGCGATTTGTTGTGATTAACAACTGGTCTTAACTTCAAGGTACGTTGCTCCTAACGGACCTAGTCTCGGTTGGGCCTTCACTGTCATACTGCGTTATTTTGCTTCCGTATGCTTTTATCTGAATTTGCCGGAGGGAAAGTATCGATAACTGACCACTTCGCAAGCTTGAGTTCATAATTTGACTATTGTTTTTTTTGAAACATGCACATCGTGTTTTCAAGATTTGCCTGCAGGAAAGTTCAAGCTTTGCACATTTTATCCGTGCTAAATCCACTGACCCGCTAATCCATTACATATATATATGTGTATATATATATATATATATCTGGCAAAGTTACTCTTCGGATGCACACCTGGTCCAGCTAATGCCGTTACAGCTTGCGTGAAAAATCTATTTAGCCTCTTAACAAAGAACAGGAACATCGCAAATTCTGAACTGCGTTTGCTCTGAAGGATTGTGCTTAACTTCAGGAGTGGGGCCGAAATTGCCCCACACATGTTAAAATGAACCATTTGCTGGATGCTGCTAGTCTTCCAGGTTGATTATGCTCACTCATGACATAACATCATCCGACTCTGAACATCCAATCTACAAATTTTGCGGACGGAATCAAAGACGTCCGCCTACGGAAGTTACTGTTTGGCGGACTCGAGCGCTTGTAATAAGGCACGGTTGCCATCAACAACATTATACAAGTGTATGGATGCTTAGGAATTTATGTGAGAACTGATTAAGAATTCTTGCGCATGTAGAATGGCTTCAAGCTTCAAACGAAGAGTTTGACCAAAACCAATATTTAACAGAAAAGGTGGATACTCAAATCAGTCAGATTATTTGGCCTTATAGGAAGAGCACACGTAGATTCACGGCATGGATTCGACCCAATGTCTTGGCCTCGTTCACTTAACTCATACTTGTTGTGTGCATGCGTGTCAGGCCAAGACGTAATAATATTAGTTTGGAGGTACAATGGTTTTTGCTCCTCTGTCACTAGATCCATCAGTACCATTGAATTAACCACCAGCAAGAAAGATTATGTTTGCTTTAGGTGATAATTTCGCTACCGAATAAAATAAATTGATTCCGTGAGTGTAGTTGCTACGTTTGACGAACCAAAGGACTAGGTTATTCAAATAGCTACTGTTAAGAAAAGAACTTCGAACTATCATCACTAGAACCAAATGTAATATCAACATTGCCTCACATGTGAATGACATGTTAAACGGATCATTCGGGATAGTTCCATGCATTTTGTTCCACCAGTTTGACCACTTGACCATTTGAAACCGTTATCACATCTTTCCACTAACCCGGGTTACCTCACGCTATGATCATTCTGATTGCTATTCAAAGCTAAACCAAATATCTACTAGTTTACCTCATCTGAGTAAGCTTTCTGTTAAGGACGAAAGGCCAAAATACAAGCCTATAAAATACTGATTTGTATTATAAAACCTTTGGGAATGATGAAATCCCACTCGAATCTGAATTTATTAGAAGATATTCAACGGTGATTTGGTTGAAGGAAGCATTACGTAGAGAAAACAATTCGCTGCCAAACACAGAAGATGCTCTGCCGTATTTGGCTCAGGGAGAGTATTTCACCAAGCTTCATCTTTTGTCGGCGTTCTCGTACGTGGCCTTAGAAGAAGAACCCAGATTGCAATGACGTTTGCCAAACCGTACGCGCCGTTTCGATGTCTACGTTTACTAGTTGGTTTGGAGGTTTCGACTGAACTTCTCAAAACGTTTTAATGCAGGTTTTTGACTGTCCAGATGGTGTATCATATGCAGTATCCGATATGTTGCTTTTACGCCTGGACCGGCCTGATTCATAACAGCAATTTTGCATCTCTTTTGCAGCGTTACTTTTGAACGAACGTAGGTCGTAAACGCGAGTGTTTTGAACTCTAAAAATCGGAAG